TGTCTGAAAAACCACCTAAAAGTAGCGCCATTCATTTTGGCAGTGGGAACAGCACCTATGAAGTCCCAAAGGTGAGAGAGAAAGGAAGGCTGACCAAAGGAACTGAGAAAGGGTCCAGCAAAAGGCAAGGAGGGGAGGCGTGAGAGGATAAGGCTGGAAAGGTAGGCTGGGGGGTCCGATCCTAAAGGCCTCCTACGCCAATTTGAGTCATTTGAAATTTAACCTAAGAGCATGTGAAAACATTGAAGAGTTTTCCCCCACGGATACAGTTTACGTTGCCTTTTATAGAAGTTGCTCTTCCTCTTGTGGGCAAATGAGTTGGAGGGAAACAAAGTTGGAGGCAGGGAGACCAGTGAGAAGGCTATCGCATGCATCCGCATGAGGGATGGTAGTGAAGGCGGAGAGGCGGGTTAAAGAGAGACCTGACCGTGGGTGACTGGCTGGGAGTGGCAGGATGGGAGTAAGGAAGGACAGCTTGTACCACGGCCTGATAGGTGAATGAGGAGATGTTGGAATCCCTGCGATGGAAATGCAGGACCATTGGCGGGCATGCTGGATGCCAGGTTCACTTTAAATGCTCTCTGTTTGAAGTGCCTGCAGCATATCCAAGTAGAAGTACCCATTAGGCAGCTAGATATTTGCCTCTGGACCTCGGTAGAGAAGTCTGGGCTAGAGATGAAGATGTGTTAATGTTTAATAAAATTATAATGATTGAAACGGTGGAGATATATTTGCCTGGGGGGGAGTGGTAGGGTGAGAAAAGTTTATCAGATGGAACCGTGAGGAGCTCAAGTATATAGAAGAAGGCCGAGCAATAGAAACCTTCAAAAGAAATGAGAGCATGCAGCCCTGGAGAGAGGAAACTCGGAGAGAGGGATGTCTCTAGAGCTAGAGAGGTAGTTGCTGCCCAGACAGTTACCTACGAGAGACTTAAGGAACACCCACTGGCTTTAGGAAAAGCAGGGCCCTGCTCTCCGTGTTGAAGGCAGGAAAGTTAAAGAATGGGTGGGAAGCAAGGAGAGAGCGCGAATGGCAGCCTCGCTCTGGGCCTCAGTTCCCTGGTCCACGGTTAAGGTGTGTGGGACTCAGAAGTTACAGGAGCTGCCACAGGGCTGGATTCTGACGCGGACGTGCGTTTGTTCGGCCAGTGCAGTATTCCAAATGTATTTCTGATCAGCCGGATACAATTCCATAGGCAGATGCCTTTCCACATCCCTTGGGGACAGATGAAAACTCTGTCATGCTTGGTTTTAACCTTGTGAGTTTGCTATGTGGTCTAATGCTGTCTACACACAATCTACATGAATTCTGATCAAGAATAACTACAAAAAATCCCACTATCTTTTATATCACGGACGTGGCTTCTTAAGACTCTCTTACCGAATATAATTTAAGATCCAGGAGGCAAGAATTCTGGGGAAGTGATGTGTGTCTTCAAAGGACTGTGGGTTTGAAACAGTGGCCGGCTTTCCTGTTTCCCACGGCAGCTCCGGCACGGTCATGCACACCTGACTGGGGAGCAGTCTCATTTGGAGGGTGGTGTTTGCTTGAGGACCAGCTCTGACGATTCTCTTCCTTACATTGAGGATGCTGCTGTGAACTCTGCCATGGACAGCCCGAGATGTTCCCTGGGCTCCCAGCCTCTGGCGGCCTTGTTCCATCCTTTTGATGGTGTGGCCTCCTCTTTCTGGGAAACCTGATCCCTCCAAAGAGAACCTGGGATGTGCCCTGAGATTTCATGCTGAGTCCTTGGTAGAAAACACATGAACGGACAAGCATCAGCTTGCAGAACTCCGTTCCTCTGGTTTCTGCCTTTTAAAAAAATAGTCTTGTTTCAGTAAATGACTTTTGCATAAACATGACTTTCCTTATTGTGTATGATAAATGTTTTTATTCTTCCAAAGTCATATACAACTCTAATAGAAATGGATTCAGTTCACACGACAAAGAGGAGGGATCTAAAAGCCACAGGCTACGATTTTCAACAGTCAGAGCTGTGATCTCAGCTTCTCCTAACACTTGTGGGAAACTGAGGCAAAAGTCTAGGCCGCCCAGCTAATGAGCAGCAGAGCCAGAGCTAGATGAGGTCTTAACCACACCTCCTCTGCAGCCCTTCTGCACAGGGACAGCCTTCCGGCCTGGGCCAGAGCTTAACCGCAAAGTAGAATGGCTGTTTTACGCAGCTTGCTTCTCTCCGCCACCTTCGCTTTATTATCTTCGTGTTTTCTCTCCTGGCCTTCTCCTCTGCCTCAGAAAGCACTTTGTTCAAAATCTTTGATTCTGCATGTTGCACGCGGAAGTGCCGTGTGAGAAGCGGTGGACTGCGGTGTTTTACCTGCCTTGATTAGGTTGTAGAGTTATGTCCCAGCTGTGTGGCTTACTAAACATTTACAGGTCAGCAAGTCTGCAGTGCTGTACAGTTGTCTTGTTTTATGGAGCTGGGCCTTTTGCACTCTTTATTGTATTACGGGCCCTCGTCATCCTCAGCAAGAAGAGGACCACCCGCCGTGTCTGTCGATTCAGCCAAAGTAATGGCTGGTAAAGGCCACACTCAGTGGTCCCCAGAGACCATCCAGCCAAAGCCTTTAGAAAAAAATGATTTGCGTATTTTTCATGCCGATGTCATATGCTTCAAGAAGATCCCTCAGAGAGCACTGTGCAGAGAGTCTGACCCAGAAGTTAGAAGACCTCAGGTCTGGCTCTGGTGCTGCCTCTAAAAGCGTGTTCATGGACAAGCGCTGGGCCTCGTCTATGAAACGGTTCAGAGATGAGCTCTAAGGTCGGCTCTTCTGCAGCTCTCAGGATTCTCAGATGCCTTTGTCACGTGCTCTGGCATTTCCAGTCTGCGTCCTCTTCTTGGGTTGCAAAGGACTAGGTGCTGTGTAGGAAGGCTCATGTTCATTCTGCAGGAGGTAGCACCAGAGTTTTTAAGGAGCAGTTTATACTCGTAGTTTATCACCAAATCCCAACATCTTTAGGAGTGAATTGAAAGGTGAACAGTCCTCTCACAAAAGAGGAGATCCCAATGGCCATTAAGAGAGAAAGTGCTCAATATCATTACTCACTAGAGATATAAAAATTAACCCTCAGTGAGGGGCACCTGCACACCCACCAGAATGGCTAAAGTAAAAAATCTGACAATAGCAAGTTTCACCTAGGATGCAGAGCAACTGGAACTCTCATACATTGCTGGTCGAGTGCATCATGGTAAAAAACATTCTGAAAAAAAGCTTTGTAGTACTTCTAAATTTACACTTACTCTGTGACCCAGCAATTGTGTTCCTATGTTTATATTTTAAAAAAGCAATTCCATATGTCAACCTAAATGCATGTACAAGAACTTTCTTGGTAGCTTTATTTATAGTAGCCCAAACAGGAAACAATCCAAGTTTCCATCAGCAGAATAATGCATAAACAGATGTTGATGCATTCATGTAAATGGAATACTACACACCAAGAAAACGGAATGAACGGCTATGGGTAACAACATGGGTGACTCTCACAGCATTATGGTCCGAGAAAGAAACCAGATATAAAAGGATACATACTGTGTGGTTCCATCAACGTGGAGTTTAAGAACAGGTAAAACCAGGCAAAAGTGATAGAAACTAGAATAGCGATGACCTCTGGTGTGAGAGGACATTGACTGGGAAAGGGCACGAGTGATGCGATTGTTCTATGTCTCCATCTGGAGGACAGATATATGTAGATGGATACGCAAGTAGAAAGTCACTGAGCTGCCCATGGAGACATGTTCACTTATTGTATACTAGGGGCCCAATGCACGAATTGGTGCACCTTTGGACCGTGAGGCTGCAGTGACCCATCCTGCGAAATCCCGCCCTGCCCCTCCTGTCACGGTCGTTAGTCACGGGTCTCATGGCAGCCTCACTGCAGGCCGCCGGCGATACGTACATGCTGACGGGGGCCCACTCACACTCGCTGATGGCGCGGAGCAATTGTGGCCGGCACCAGCAGCGTGTGTGAGCAGGACCAGTGCCATTAGTGAGTGTGAGTGGTGGCTGCTGTCTGATCACCCCTCAGGAGCAGGGGTAGGTGGCGAAGCCCTCGGGGCGATCAGGGCCAGCATTTGCCAATCGCACTTGCTGACAGCCCTGAGCGATGGGACCGGCACCGGGCATTGGCAATGGGTGTGAGCGGCGGCTCCAGCGTGGCCACGGGTGCAAACAGGGCCGGCACCAGCAGCAGGTACGAGTGCTGGGTGGGACTGCAGCGTGTGGGAGCAAAAAATTTTCAGTAACCACCAGAGGCTTGCCCCAATGACAGCAACTGGCGCTCCACCTTTGTCTGGCACCCCCGCTCACCTGCTCCACTATCCCACCATGGCCGATGCCCACCATGTTCCGCACTCTGCCACCTGCTGCCGACGCCCGCCATGTTCCGTGCGCTCCCCCTGGTGGTCAGCGCACATCATAGCAACTGGTTGTTCAGTTGTTGCACTGTTTGGTCTATTTGCACATTAGGGCTTTATATATATAGATAATCTTATGCCCCAATCAAAACAATTGAAAAGAAAGGTGGGTTTGAATGAGTTTCCTGTGTGTGATCCCATGCACTTGGTGTTCTAGGTCTAGGAGCAGTGGGGCAGTGGGGGTGAGGGGAACCAGAGGGAAATAGTTTTCAGCATGGCATTTGTTAGAATGTCTCTCTTGGATTGGTCCAGAGCCAGTGGTGTGGGCGACTTCTTTGAGAAGCACAGCAATTCAAATTTTATAATAAGGAATCTGGAGCTCAGGTGTGCCACTCTTCTTTCTAGGAGGCTCCAGTCTAGAGGTTTACTCCCAAGTATGACTTTAGATGGCTTTTATCCACAGGGGTGGCAGCTAGAGAGACGGCCCAAGCTCTGAAGACGCTGGCCCAGGCTGCCCGTGGAGTGGCTGCATCGACGAGTGACCCCGCAGCTGCACACGCCATGTTAGATTCTGCTCGCGATGTGATGGAGGGCTCAGCCATGCTCATCCAAGAAGCCAAGCAGGCCCTGATTGCTCCTGGAGATGCGGAGAGTCAGCAGAGGCTGGCCCAGGTGAGGCCCGGAACGGTGGTCATCACTAAAGTGGATGTGTCAGCAGGCTCCCTCCTGGGCATTCTTCTTCTGGTGCGAACACTTACTCAGTGGGTGTTTCCAGGACCTTCCATAACAATGCTGCCCTTACCTACATAATACGTACTTTTGGAAAAAAATAGTATTTTTTTATTGATTTCAGAGAGAGAGAGAGAGAGAGAGAGAGAGAGAGAGAGAGAAACATCAATGATGAGAGAGAATTATTGATTGTCTGCCTCCTACACACCCCCTACTGGGGATCGAGCCTGAAACCCGGACATGTGCCCTGACCAGGAATCAAACCCTGACCTCCTGTTTCATAGGTCGACGCTCAACCACTGAGCCACACCAGCCAGGCCTTAATACCTACTTTAGTAAGTCTTGCCTAGTAGCCAACATAATGTGCCAACAGAGAGTATGGGGGACTTTACTTTGGTGAAATCTGCCCTTGGAGCTTTAGGAGTCAGGACACAACCTGTTTGCTTTGGGCCTACATATGCTCGAGGGTATTCCGCTTCCTAGCCTGTGAGATAAGGTAGATGTACTTGCTCTGACCACTCGGAGTTTTAAACTCTGACTCTCTCCTGCCTCTTAGGAGGAGTCTTCAACTACCTGATGCACCTAGTTGGCTAGAGACCTTCTGGGCGAAGTCCTACACCAGTCACTAGGAAGAAGATGCTTTAGATGAAAGGGATTGGCATAACCCACATCTTAAGGTCTTGCCCTTTAACTGAGGATGCCAAAGAGTACAAATAGGGGGTCCTCACACTTGCTTGAAAGGCATCCTGTGGGCACCTCCAGGTGGGTCTGGAAGTGCTCGGAGCGGGCTACCTGCCCTCGGGCAGTGAGGCTGGGGGCTGATGACTCAGAGGGTCGCTGAGCAGGAATCAGCCACAGCCCCGTGAACTGTGATCCAGAGAACTCCAGGCCTGCTTCCACCTCTGTGATCCCTGCAGGGCTCTCAACAGGGGAGCTCTTTCTGTTTCTCTTGGTATCAGACATCTTTGTTTAGCACCTGACATGATATTGGCAAGCTCGGAGTTTGAATCGCGGAGTTAAGACTTAGCCTGGCTTTGGGGAAAAGCAGGGTGTACTGTCTCAGTGTGTCAGACCCTTTGCCAAGACAGGATATTTACCACAGCGAGCGGCCAGAGAAGGAGATTTAAGGGTAAACAGTGTCAGGAAGATGCTGGTGGACCATTTCCCCATCTTGTTTCAGCTCTGCATACTGTCACTGCTCATTCCCAACACGTGCAAAAATGTACGGAAAGCCGCTTTCTTACAGAGCTTTTCTCCTTCCGTGTACGCAGGTGGCCAAGGCCGTCTCGCACTCTCTGAATAACTGCGTGAATTGCCTCCCCGGGCAGAAGGATGTGGACGTGGCCTTGAAGAGCATCGGGGAGTCCAGCAAGAAGCTACTTGTGGACTCGGTGAGAGGTTTGGGGTTGGGAAGGGGCCTCGGGGAGTGGAGCTCACTGCGGGTGTGAGTGGGGTCTTCTCTCCCCCAGGGGGCCTCTGAGAGCCAACTCTCCTTTAGGAGCTGCTCTTCCTGCCCTTCTGCCTTTTCCTTGTTTGGCTTTCTGCTCAGTGAAGTTTCCAGGTGGAGCTTTTAAAGTTCACTTTTTCTTGGAACCCATTTGCCATTTGCTCTTGGGTCATCCCAGTGAGACAGGAAAGGGGGGAGTAGGTGATCATCCGACTTCTTATCAGAGCATCTGAGACAATGACGATCAGGCAGTGGAGGGAGATGTGTCCCAAGATTCACTAAAGGAGAGGTAGTATGAGGGGTTTCTCCTGGGACCTGTTTCCTTCCCTGTTCTGTGAGCCTCCTTCTGGGAGGCGTGTGCCTGTTTATCTTTGTTTTTTTTCTGTCTGGTGCCCGGCACCTGCCAGGTGTGCAAGCAGTGCATGGGGTGTGACAGCGAGAGTCTAGCCCAGGGGTGGGCAAACTTTTTGACTCGAGGGCCACAATGGGTTCTTAAACTGGACCGGAGGGCCAGAACAAAAGCATGGATGGAGTGTTTGTGTGAACTAATATAAATTCAAAGTAAACATCATTACATAAAAGGGTACGGTCTTTTTTTTTTTTTAGTTTTATTCATTTCAAACGGGCCGGATCCGGTCCGCGGGCTGTAGTTTGCCCACGGCTGGTCTAGCCTCTCTCTCTCTCTGCAACTTTTCATGTACAGTCATAGTTCTGCTGGTGACGGTTCTGTTCTGTAGCCAAGCTATATTATGAGCAAAGGCCACTCATAAAAATGGATGGCTGTTAGTTTGGAAGAATAGGAGTGGGAGGTTACTGGGCATCAGTGTTTTAGTTTCTGGAGAGCTAAAGGTTTGAGAGCTTCCGCCTAAGAGAGACAACAGAGAGTGGGTGCTTCAGAGAGTGAATCCTGGAGGCAGATTGCCCAGATGTGAGTCCTGACTGAGCCACTTCGGAGACCGTAGCCCCTGAGGATGGCTGTCTTACTGTTTTAGAGCCACAGTGTCTAGCACTGAATAGGTATTCAACAAATGTAAATGGGTGAATGAATGCATATATGTGAGGGCCAAATTTAACATGAGCTCAGGCCACACAGAGCCTTCAGCCTCAGTGAGGTTAGACGCATCCCTGGAGATCTGTCTTCGTCCACAGTCCCTTCCTCTATCCTTCTCATGCAAAGGGAACTTCTCACGGGCTGTGCCTTTTGTTCCCCACAGTTACCTCCAAGCACGAAGCCGTTCCAGGAAGCCCAGAGCGAACTGAACCAAGCAGCGGCCGACCTGAACCAGTCTGCTGGGGAGGTGGTCCATGCGACCCGCGGGCAGAGCGGGGAGCTGGCTGCGGCCTCCCGGGAGTTTAGTGACGATTTCGATGAATTCCTCGATGCTGGCATTGAGATGGCGGGCCAAGCTCAGGTGGGTGTGTGTGTGTGTGTGGTGGGGGGCAGTCTGGAACTGACGCTCACCTCTCTACTCCAATGGACAGGCCACCCTTGAGGCCGATTGGGCAAATAGGAACGGGGAACCTGTCCACAGGCTACCCTGTTGCGTTCTTTTTGCCGCTTAGGAAGCTCCGTGATCTCACCGGAGTGGCATCCCCAAGATGCTATCAGCTTCTGTGTGAGGTGATTCTTGGAGATGGGGAACAATTCCCACGGACCTCCAGCAAAATGCGTCACTTTATTTACATCTTTTGGAGGGAGGGTGGTAGAGGAGGGGGTAACATGTTTAGCCGAGATTAGTATAGCTCCACATCCTGTGCTTTGAGTGCGGTAATAGAGTAAAAAGCCGTGTTGTTGAGGTTCGGCGGACCCATCTAAAGGACGGTATCTAATACTGAGTCAGAGGATTAAAAATCACCTCCTCCAGATGAAGATAAACTCCTGGTTTAGAGCAAGGGAGCATGACTGGTCTGGTGTCAGCCTGCAGAGCTGTTTCCCCCGCGCTCCTGCCATCTCCCTAACAGAGCTACCCAGGGTGCTGCTTGCTCTGTTATCTACAGAGGGTGAGAAATGGGCCCTCTCCCGGGTCAGGAACTTCTGGGATGCAGTCAGCTCTGACTGTTGAGACAGGGCTGGCCGCCTGTGCCAGGCTGAGACGGACGGGCCGCTTGACAACTCCAGCATTGTTGAGCAAGACGCTGGCCTGTGGCCTGCCTGTGCACTGTGCGCGTGCTCGCTCCCCCCTCCCTCCCCCTCCCTCTAATGCCTCCACTTGTGAGATAGCACAGCTCTTGGCTGACCCACTTGGGGAGGAATTTCTGTCCTGTTTTGCGACTCTTGGTCTGGGTGTCTGTCTGGGGAAGCGTAGACACCAGTCAGTGTCCCAACAAGTTAGGCATCTGCAAACTAGTTGGGCTTAATTCAATCTATGTAGATACCTTGCTTCTATCCCAAGACGCTGCTCCCAGCTCTCTGACGGCTTGCTAGGAGTGATGGAGCATCCCTAGTTACTCCGGCCCCTCTTGACCTTCCAGACCAAAGAAGACCAGATCCAGGTGATCGGGAACCTCAAGAATATCTCTATGGCATCCAGCAAGCTGCTGTTAGCTGCCAAGTCTCTCTCTGTGGACCCAGGAGCCCCCAATGCGAAAAACCTCCTCGCTGCAGCTGCAAGGTGAGAGCGGAACGAAATGGGCTTCTCGTGTGTTGATAAGCAGGGTCAGTGTTTGCGGATACGCTGGCATCCTGCTGCTTTTGCTGAGCAAAGGATTGGTGTCATCCTGGTGCTGTCAGAGGGGGAGCCCAGAGTGGCAGAAACTCTAGGGTTTCAGTAAACGGGCTCATTTTCATGTGCTTTCCCGTTTGCAGGAACCTGTCTTCTCCTCCAGCCTTTTCCGTTGGCCTTGCTTAGACTTAAGACCCTCAATGATTTATAAGTCGATTTTTTAAAAAAGAGTGTTATGTTTTTCAGATTATGAAAGCAATATATGCTTGTGGAAAAACAACTCAGAAAATACTGGAAAATATTTTTTTAAAAAAGAAAAGAAAATGACACTTAACTAGCCATTCCTCATTTCTTGAGCACTTGCCTGTCCGCCTGGCAGCAATGTTAGTTAGATGGATGGAAACATGTTCAGTCTGCCCCATGCAGAGTGATTCTTGTTTAGGGTGAACGGGGTGGCCGTGGGAGTAAATAGTTCTTGGAAATACATTAAAACAGGAATCTGCGTTTTGGATAATGTCATTGTTCTTCTTTCTTGTTGTTCCCACCCAGGAAGTGGGTGATACAGTACAGTGCCTGCCCCAGGGCCCCTGTGGTTATGAGTTCGGTATCCAGTGAGTGAAGGCTAGTGTGCAGAGAAACTGTCGTGACCACCAGGAAACTCCTCAAATCAGGGTCACACTCAGGCCTGACCCTAGTCTCCTGTCCCGAATAGGGAGGGTGTTTCTGCTGCTGTGGTGATGTGGGCAGGTTTTCTTGACATTACGTGGCATCCTCACATGTACAGGAAAGCTGGCAGCAGGAAGAGATTAAATGCAAAACAATTAGGATCTAAAGCCTAATTGGGAACTTTTCAAAATGGGCAGATGACTGGTTTTGAAAAAGCATAGCTTCAATTCTACATTGTTAAACTTGGTCTTATGAGTTTATTCATTTGTTTTTCTATGGCTTTCTCTCCTGGGAGCTCAAAGGCTGTTTTTTAAGTTGTCGGAGTCAGGAGGCCCGAATTACAGTCCAGGCTTTATTGCTTACTAACTAGGTTACACCGTCGGGTCCCTCACCTGCCTAAACTTTCCCGTCTGCAAAGGGGGGGTGTGCACATCACAGTTCTCAGGACATGCGATGCCATGTACTAATGGTGAAAACCCGGCTCTGGTCCCCGCATGGCTTGTAGTGCTATTTTTGGGGGGGAGGATTAGACATATCAGGGCAGTTCCTCAGAAAATCCTAGAGTTTCTTCATTTATTCCCAAATACATACTTTAGCTTCAAACAATAGCTAGAGCCATTAGAGACTGGAAAAATATCCTGACGTCTCCCCACTTCCATCTTATGCTGTGTGTTGTGATAGTTCCAGTGAGTCTCTCCCTGGGCTGGGGCGGGAGGGGGATATGTGTGCTGTGCTGAGCAGCTGTTTCTGGTATAAAACCCTCCCGTAAATGTTCTTTTTTCCTACAAAGAACCTTAGGATAAGGCAATTGACATTTCCAGGTATCTGATCGCAGATGTTTTTCATTGTCTTCAGTTTTTTGCATCATTTCAGAATTACAGTTTTCAGCTTAGAATGTATTGTTCACTCTCTTAAATTGTGGGAAGAAGGGGAGAGTAAGAACTGGCGTTTCGAAAGCCAGATAAGGAAGGAAA